TGACACAATTTGACCTCCAACCCGGTACCTAATAACGGTCGGCCCGGCGGGTGCGTGCGGCCCGTTTTTCTCACCGGGTCAGGGTCAAATTGGGTCGACCCGTGGGTCAACCCGCGGGTTGACAACTCATTTTAGAAATCAAATATATTGTAGTTTTTTTTTATCCAGAATCAAAATATATTGTTTCAACTAGAAGTTTGGGTGTATCATGCACCTACTGTAGAAAATCTTGTGATCATGTGTAGACAAATTATGCACACAAAAGTTTGTACATATTGGGCAGAAAATTTATGTACGAAAATTTGTACACATGAAATTACATACGCCTACAAATTATTTCTACATCTACTGACTAAATATATTTGGGTGTATTAACATTGAAGTCATTGTACATAAAAAGTATGTACATGTTCTACAGAAACAAATTTGTTCATGTTCAAAAAAAAAATTGTAGCGGTACAATTTTTATGAAATATGTATAGAAGTATGGACATGATTTTTTTTGTCTACAAATGTATATCAAAGTGAATGTCATCTTATAGATACTAATAAATTTAAATTTTTTTAAATATATTTGACATTCAAGTTAAAATGAAAGAGATATGGTTGGTTAAGAATTAAAGGTGAAAAATAAATATGAAAGAAAATAGAAACAGAGAGAAGTAAGGGGTTAATTTATGCATATTTGCACCAATTTTGAAATTATCAACCACTAATATCAAACATAAGATATTCATGTAGTTTGATCATTCCCTTTCCCCTCAATCTAACAATCCAAGTTAATTTCAGCAGCTACTAAAATATGCTTCATTTAGCACAATAAGTTGAAAGTGGAAATCAAAGCTGGAAAATAATAATAAGGATTTGTTTCAATGAGGATTTCTAACGTATTAATGTGATAACAGTAAACTTAGATGGAGGACATAAGAAATAAATAACTTGTGTTATAAAATAAAATAGGACTTTGCTACGGTGACATGCATGTCACTGTGACATGCACTTTTCGGTCGACCTCATATAAGATCAGGTCGACCTAATCAGTTGTTTCAGTGTACAAACAGTTTCATGGTGCCTACTTTGGAGATTCATATATTACAATTGGCTAGATGGAAATTGGAGATTAAAGGCTTGTTTTGAAGCTGAAGTGTCCCTCTACACATTAAAGTACTTGGGAGCTCAATAGAAAGTCCAGAAGACCATTTTTGAACCTGACCAAAAGGCTATGCCAAAACTGTGAAACTGCCTGAAAATGGCTAAGTCTAGCAACGTGTTTGTCAAGCCTACTTTGGAGCTCAATTTCACAAGCATGGATGCGAGTCAAGTCCAGGGGCCTTTACCACGTTAAATTACGTATTTTTTTATACAAATGCAAGGCATTGAATGAAAGATTGAATATCTTTAAAGTTTCAAACAAAAGGCTCGAAGTTGCTACGAAGGCTGTTTTTCTGGCAGCTTGCTTGTGCTCAAAGTCTGCCAGAAAAACAGCCTTCGTGGCAACTTCGACCCTTTTGTTTGAAGCCTTAAAGATATCCAATCTTTCATCCAATTCCTTGAATTTGTATAAAAACATACCTAATTTAACGTGGTAGAGGCTCCTGGACTCAACTCGCATTCATGCTTCTCGAATTGAGCTCAAAAATAGGCTTCACAAACACGTTTCCAGACTTAGCCATTTCTAGGCAGTTTCCCAGTTTTGGCATAGCCTTTTGATGAGGTTCAAAAATGGTCTTCTGGACTTCCTATCGAGCTCTCAATCACTTCAATATGTAGAGGGACACTCTAGCTTCAAAACAAGTCATTAGTCTTCAATTTCCATCTAGCCAATTGTATGATATGAATATCCAAAGTAGGCACCATGAACTGTTTTTACACTGAAACAACATATTAGGTCGACCGGATCCTATATGAGGTCGACCGAATCCTAAATGAGGTCGACCGGATCCTATATGAGGTCGACCGAATTTCTATATGAGGTCGACCTAATCCTAACTGAGGTCGACCGGAAAGTGCAAGTCACCGTGACATGCATGTCACCGTAGGCACACCCAATAAAATAATTGACCAAATTATCTTATTTCTCATTCCATACTTTTTCCCCCACTAATTGATCACTAGGATTAAAAAGATTGGAGAGATACAAATAGGGTTGTTAATGAACCGAGTCGAACATAGTTTTACCTTGTTCACATTTGGTTCATTAATAAACGAGTCGAGCCGAACACGAGTCAGCTCATTTATTGAATCATGGCCCATCATTAAGATCAAAATGTCGGATCGAGCTCAACTCTAAGACAATTTATGAATTAAATACCTAATATTTATGTCATATGCGAGACATACTTGTTCACATACTCAAATTATTAAACATCACATGAGGTGTGATATACAATTTAATAAATATATGCATCATTAACAAACCAACTCATAAGATATATATCGATTTTCTGATAAGTCGTAATCAAGTTGGATACTTCATGAGTCAAATTCAACAGGCCACCTAATCGAACTAGTCCACGAGCCGAACAAGGTTGAACTCAAACTCGGCTAGTTAACAAACGAATCGAACTTTTATTAAATCGAACGAACTTTTATCGAGTTCGATACCGAACTGTTCGCGCAAATAGTTTGGTTCATTAACAACACCAGATACAAATACAATTTGCTCCATACCTCTAAATGTCGTTATTATTATTATTATTATTATTATTATTATTATTATTATTATTATTATTATTATTATTATTATTTAGGTGGATCGGGTCAGCCCAAGATGTAAAAGATCAATGGTTGATTGGGATGTGATTGATACCTACTGGGCCAACACTCTTATTACTCCAAAATGATTTGGAGCCCAATTGGGGTCTACTTAACCTTTGGGTCGCAGGAAGCCTGCAGCCTGTTACACACACAAAATTTAAGGATCTCCTGTCATGTTGATGGATTTTCCGGTACTAATTTTACAAGACACAAACACAATACAAGCTGCAACTACTACAGGTTCATTCATCACCCCAACGCCAAAAACAATTATAAATGCTACTGAGTGTAGCGACATGAACGTACCATATGCAACTATCTGAACTTTGGCCTTAGACCGACCCTAAAGAAATGTGATTTATTTCGAGCCGAAATCTATAAACTAAACCCCCAATTAATCATACAAATCTCCCATTATCTTAATGATGCATCTAAACCATATGCAGAGGAAGTAAAGTTGTAGCAGAAGCAGCCTCGGTGAGGGAGGGGATATGAAAGAGCCCTGATCCTTATTGGGTTACTTGCAATATTTCTTTGATATCATATCCTTGGAGCTGCGAGATGGAAGTGCCCAAGGCAACAGCATCAGGCTAAGAGCGGCATTCATAGCAGGATGATTTGTAATTGGAGCAAGAAGGTTCCTTGTACGTTTGAGCATATGAAAATCCAAGCAGAGTTCCTAAACAAGTTTACCGAATTTCTCTTAATTGCTCATCGAGAAACCAAAGCTGTGGGGAAACTCTCCTGGCAGTGGGTAAGTTGCACGGGTGCTGTGTAGGGAGGTTGCTTTGGAATTTAATGGTAAGTGAGATCTGGATTCTGGAGGGATAGGCGTTGCAGGGTTTATGGAAAGTAGACTCAGACTGCTGCAGATTTGATTACCAAGATGAGGAGTATGCTAGCGAATATGATGGTTCAGGGGCGGAGCTAGGATTTAAAGTTCGGGGGGCCGGAGTAACTTAGCACATTATCGCCAAAATGCTGAAAAATAAAAATATATATAAGTATATAACGTATAACATTAATTCAAATAATCAAAAGAACTCAAAATAGAATTAATTTAAAGTTTTTCTACTATGCTATGCTCAAAGTAAATGATTATACTACGGAAAAAGTATCATGTAAGTTTTTCCATATTATTATACATTGAATATGATTTTATGATTATATTAATGTTTGTATAAATTAATTAATTATCCAAAGAAAACTCCTTGAAAATATGAATGTAGAAATTCAAGAAAAAGCAAGGTTTATAAGACAAAGCAGGAAAATTAATAGATTTAACTGGAAAAAAAATAGTAAGATTAATATTGCCGCCTACCAGGATCGAAATTGTTACCCTTTGGGTGTAACAAAACACCATCTCCGCTAGGCTGTAACCTATCATGGTAACAATTCTTCAATCGGTTTTATCTATACGCTACATTAAATTTATACGTAATTATCTGAATATTCTACGACTTTATACGTAAGTTTTAAAATTCTCGGGGGGGCCGGGGCCCCCCCGAGAGCCTACATAGCTCCGCCCCTGTGATGGTTAGCAATCTGCAACTGTGTATCGAGGTCACTTAGGGATGGCAATTTTGATCTGACCCGTTTTACCCGATCTGTTTGACCTGTTTTGGGCGGGTCCGACCCGCCCCATAGGCGGGACGGGGCGGGCATGGGTAGTCTCATCGACCCGACCTGCCCGGACCCGCCCCATTCTCGACTCGACCCGTTCTTGTCTAAATTACATGTAATCTTAGTCAAATTACTTAGAATTTTCCTTTTATTGCATCATATTTTAGCTATAATAAAGTTGTAAATTAGTAAAAACCTCAATTTCTCCAATAATTTAACTACAATTGTCATAATATTGTTTGTTTTCTTAGTCTTATAATAAAAATAACGAATATTTCTAATGTTTTCATATAAATTGCATACCCATTGGGTCGACCTGCCCCGACCCACGACCCGTGATCAATTACCCGACCTGCCACGGAACGAGTCTAGGTACCAAGAAACCCGCCCCGGACCTGCCCATTGCCATTCCTAAGGTCACTAAGTAAAAAATTATGGTTCATGTATATAGACTTAGTAAGTATGATGAGTAGTAGACTGTAAAATAATTTTCATAGCGGTGAAACTCAACCGTTTAAATCCAAGTCTTTTGGTTGAGATGTGACAACACAGCCAACTTCTGGCACCAAAGTGGATAAAACACTTCCTATATAAAAACCAACCGAAACAGCTAGCACTGCATGAGAGGGGAAATCCCTAATCAGATTCAGCCGGCTGTTCAAGAGAAGAAAAAAATGTGGCGACCGCTCTCCAGAAATTTCTATGGGCGTCTCCGCGGTTCGTCTCGCAGCATCGGATTAGCTGAACATCTTCCAATCTCTCCTCCTTCTCTGGCTGCTTCTTCTCAGCGTCCGGTACTCGGTGGGCTGTTCTCGTCCAAAACGGCTCCTAGACTGGCGAAGCTTGCTATCGAAAACGATGATGCTGGCAGTGAAGGTAAAAGAATTATCACAACTACTTTCTTTGCTTCACATATATATAGCTTGTGATTGGTCTAGATTTGAACAAATTGATAGAGCGATACGTGAAAGGAGACGTTGATGTCCATCCTTGGATCATGAAGGAATGGTTTCTTCGTGTGAAAATGAAGAATTTGTCAAGGAAACATGATAAAATTATGACCGATGACGAGTGCCTCAAGGAGCTTTTGATGTGGTGTGTCGATGACTATTCTGAATATGATATAACGGTTGCTGTGGATGAAATTAATTTAGCCAACAATGAAAACAGATCAGCTAGACAAAATTCTAAAGTATATATCATTGCTCTTCCTTTTTTTGTTTCTCTCTTGATAATTTCGATTGGAGGCTGCTACAGCCCTGCTCGTGGCTAACAAACTTGGTTTGATTGTTCGTAGATTGGTATTATGAGCTGAAAGACTTGAAGCATAAGTACATAGAAGGTGAAGAAATGGACGCTCTTTTTGCGATAAGAAAAAATATCCTGAAGATGAGGTTGTCGGGGAAGGCTTCTGGCTTACTGCAACTACCATCTGATGCTGCAAAAGACCTTGGATTTCTCAGACACCATTCCAACTTTTTTGAAGGTAAGTGGTTACCACCATGATTGATTATCGTTATTTAGCCATTAAACCAAGGGGTATTGCCTGGAATACAGACATACCCAGCTGACCCCAACTGCTGCTTTCAAGAACAGAAAAGGGAAAAGTTTCGAAGATGGGGAAGATGGTGCCTCTCAGGTCTCTATATCGCGCAGCTTCTCGTAGATCTTCGATAGGCTTCGCAGATGTTGCCGGCAACCAGCTCCTTCACCATCAGTCAGCTCCTCGATCCCTGTTCACTCTCTCTTCCGCCACCGCTTCTGCGGATCGCATCGCTTCCGGTAATGCCTCTTTTTGAACCATACTTCCGGGTATGGGTTTGGGCGCTCTGAGTAGTTATTTGGTTACAATTTCATCATCACGCTTGGAGTTATTATCTAAAACCTGGTTTGGGGTCTTTTGAAATTCTGGGTCGATTTGGGAGCGAATTTGGTGAACTGGGTTGAATGAATCTGAGGTAATAGGAAAATGAAGCTGTAGCCTTTATCTGAACATTGCCGGGTATGTGTGAGAGGAATTTTCTTTGGTTCCTGTGTCTAGCTGTATATATTATTTTTTTTTTATAAATTGTCTAGCTGTAGAATTGTACCAGCAATTGTCATCGATGTGAAATTCAGCAAGGCTTATGTGAGTTAGATGGATCCAATGATTGATTTTATGCACAAACGACTGTCTGTGTGAAGTTGATGCTACCTTGGTAATGATAGTTCATGCCTCTTTTAACGCGGTCTTTTCTTGGTCATGCTTGTTGTTAGGTTCTCGGTCTCCTTTGGCAATCAATATTGGTAGCAAAAGATCTTATAGTGAGGATGTGGCACACTTGCCCGAGATTAAGGACCCTGATGTCTTATGTGCTTTCAAGGACTTGATGGCTACAAGTTGGGATGAACTTGATGCGACAGTCATCCATGATGTGAAGAATGCTCTGTCGAAGAACACTGATGACAAATCCGGTCAAGAGATATTGAAGAATATTTTTCGGTCATCTGAAGCTGTCGAAGAATTCAGTGGCATGGTCATGTCTCTAAAGATGGAGCTAGATGACAGCATTGGGATGAGCGGCGAGGTATGCTCATGGTTTTTCATTTGAAATTCTTAGTTCTATATTTTGGATTCGTCAAATGGTTCTTGAAGGTTAATAATAGTTTGTAAAAATGTGTGGCACAGGATGTAAAACCGCTAACAGATGATTATGCAAAGGCAATCCGCATGTTTTTTGAACGATACTCTGCGTATTTGGAGTCATTTGGACCTGATGAGGCTTATCTGAGAAAGAAAGTAGAGATGGAATTGGGTTCAAAGATGATATTTTTGAAGATGAGATGTGCCGGCCTCGGATCAGAGTGGGGCAAGGTATTATGACTTGCTCAATTTTACTGAACGCTAATTAACTGAAATTTACGATTTAGATTATTGCTCCCTCAATCTAGCACCTTTTGCTTTTATGGGTTTCTAGGGATGTTTTCTTTCCATCTGTTTTGCCTCAAAATGCTTCATGCATTTGCATATTGGTATCATCTTCTTTTTAGCGAGATTAGCTCGTCATGGCTTTAACATTTTAATGATGCTGTTTTGAATCCCAGGGCTTACTAGCTTTTATCTTTTCAGTTGTGCCTCTTGAACTGTACTTGGCTGTACTTTTATGCATATTTTGAAAGCAAGCCTAAATCACTTGGTCCTGTTTTTGCAGGTGACCCTGATTGGTACTTCTGGACTTGCTGGATCTTATGTTGAACAAAGAGCTTAAAGTCCCGGAATCTTTGATTCGATTTGGCTTAGTTGCGAAAGTTTTTCTAGCTTGGAAAATGTGTTTGTCGATGGTTTCTATCAAGTTGCTGATCTTGGAAACCTTTTAAAGTGGAGTTCGATTGTAGTTCAATAAAAGCTTAGGTCCTGTTTACTTTCATTTCTGTTTCCTGTTTTTGAGAAAACATATGTTGAAAACAGGTGAAAACGACATTTTTTCGTTTTCGAAAACAGCAGGAAGTTGCCACTTTCTGTTTTCAGAGTTGGAAACGAATAGAAAACAGAATGAAAAGTAAACATGTTTTCTCGTTTCGTTTGTCAAATTTATGACATGAAAACAGAAAACAGGAAACGAAAATAGAAGTGAATAGGGCCTCTATTTCAAGATTTGCATTGATGTAATACTGTTCACGTCATTTCAGTTCCATTTAGCTGTATTATGGGTGAAAGGTTGGTAGTTGAAGTTGGCTATGGTACTTTGGTGAGGCACACTGCCTAGCTAGCTGTGTAAAATCTTGTAAGCATGTTCAACTTTCTCCTATGGGACAAAAAACCAGTGGTCACTGAGGTTAGATCTGAGGCTCTTGTTTGGGAGCTCCCTGTAGTGGGGAGGGTTGGTTACTAGTTCTCTTTTTTTCCCCATGTCTAGAAGATGACTAGAAGATGAAGTAAGGAATTGTGGATGTCATAGAACCACAAACAAAACCACCCTGAGAAATTCTGTTTGGGAATGCCGATGGATGTCTAGATAGTTATCTCAACACGTATATCTACCTCATGTATGGTATGAGTCAAGTCGTGTAATTTTGTTTACGTATAGGTCATATGATAAGGTAGGTAAACTCTTTCTTATGTGTGGTTCGACGAAATATTTTAAAATATTTTATAAAGAATTAAAGGTAAAAATTATTTTAAAATAAAAGGAAGAGAATGACGTAACTAAGTCTCATACCTAGTTGTGGCTAACATTAAATGTAAGATGTTACTTAAAAGAAATCAAAATAGAAAAATAAAAAAATAGTATCAAAGAAATTTGATCATAGTAGGTTGGAGGTGGGGTTGGAGGGAAGAACCACACACTACTAGTGACTCAAATGGTACACCCGCATTGTTGATGGTATTAGATCGATAAGAAGAGCATACCACACTACTAGTGGATCAAATGGTACACTCACATAATTGATCCTAAAAGATCAAGAAGTGTATACAACGATACTAGTGGGTCAAATGGTACACTTACATAATTCATCAAAACGGATCAAGAAGTGCATACTATGTTACTAGTGGATGAAATCAAATGGTACACTCACATAAGTTATCAGAATTGATCAAGAACTGCATACCATGCTATTAGTGTGTCAAATGGTACACTCACATAATTCATCGGAATAGATCAAGAATTGCATACCATACTACTAGTGAGTCAAATGGTACACTCACATAGTTTATCTGGAATAGATCAAGACGAGTATATCGTAGTGAAATTTTCATCACCAATATTATTGGATGAGTATGGTAGGATACAATAAATCACGTGTGTCAAATAGGCTATCATTTGCTTTTTCATGAAATAAATTATAAGTAGCCCTTTTTTTTTAACAAGATCTAGTTACAATCTGGTTTAGTTGTCCTATACTCCTATCAAAAAGAAAAGGATAAAAAAGTTAATATATTATTTTGGCCCAAACTATGATCATATAATCAACTTTGGTCTGTGGGTTCGGAAATTAACATCATGGCCTCAATTATGCAACATATAGACTCAATTGGCCCGACACATGATTTGACTGTTGATTTGATAATGATAAATAATAGAAATTATGAAAATAATTTGAATTTGAATTTTTTTTTAATGATTATTACGCTGACGAGGCAAAGACATGGCGTGTTTACTAACGATCAATGGTGTTGACCATCCAAATTGACGGTCAAACCATGTGTCGGACCAATTGAGTCTATATGTTGCATAGTTGAGGCTATGATGTTAATTTGTGAAACCACGAGCCAAAATTGATTATATGATTATAATTCGGACCAAAATGAGGTATTAAACAAAAACGAAATTACTGTATTTTAAAAAAATGCCTCAAACCACAGAAGGCCCAAACTCAAGTACTCAACTGTAGTAAGAGGAATAATACTGACATAACCGGGCCCAATAATCACACATCCACAGTAACTGTACCTGTTGGTGGGTCAGAAAAGTGGTGAGTAATCTCATAGCCACCGAGCTTGGGCCTGGCCGAACTAGTATGGAATGAGGCCCAACTGGTTTGGCTTTTTGCGGATCTGCATGGTATCGTTGCGCAGCCGCAGCGCAAGCAATTCGAAATCATGGATCGGGTTTGGCAAATCATGCTATCACGCAAAGATAGTTTCCAGCAACGTCACTTTTTTCCAAAGTTGATGGGGGAGGACTTGAGAAAATGAAAGTTGGGTTAGGCAAATAAACCATATATTCAAAACTACACTACTACTTTTAGCAATTTAGCTCATACAATTTAGCTGCTCTCCTGGATCGAATTGCTTCAAACCTAAACTCAATAACAGTGATGGAGTTAAGTTGAAACTATGAAGGGTTGTAGCCCTCATAAATTTTTGAAATTTAGATAAAATTACATGTAAATTTTGCACAACTTTATGAATTAGAATAATCGGTAAGGCTTTAGTCCCCCCAAATTACGACAGTTCAAGTCAGTCCCCCCTCATTCGAATTTCTGACTTCGTCACTGCTCAACCCCGCAGATGCATCCGCCAAAACAACTTGGTAAACACACATTGAATCTTGGAAGAGAAAACGTTTTCAATCCAACGGTACTCTAGGTCCATCCAAGGGGGCATGAGTACTATAGGTTCATGTACATAACCATGCATACTTTAATTTCTTTCCTCTTTTTATATTATCAAGATTTTGTCCACAATTATATTGTCATAAAAACTAATAACATTCACATATAATCCATATCATTGGGTCGACTATAGTGCCAGAAAAACTAATAAATCCATCCATATTATTAAGGTTACATACAAAACAATGTCGTTTTCACTTTTTGAGTGCGAGTCAGGTGAAAAGCGAGTAAAACCACGCTCGACCAAACTAAGAACCGTCAGCACCGAATTTTACATGATTTGATCGGTTTGAGCCGAACTAGATTATCCACACCTCCGAATTCAATTGTCATCATCCCTACTCCTGCTTTCTAGAGGCAATACATTTTATATATAGTTTCACTACGTACTAATTCTCTACCTGGTAACTGATTAACACTGCTACTGCACTTTTACGACTAATGATTCAGACATCAATAATAAAGAGAGATTAGGGTTCAAACTGCAAGGCTTAACCAATAACAGGAAACACCATTAAGAATAAAAAAAAAAACAGTTAATAACAAGAACGGTGCCAACTGTAAGGCTTGCCTTTGCGAATTAGAGCCTCCTGACTGCGACAAAATATATGTGCTTTCTCCATGCATCCTTCGGCTGCCTTTACAGATCACATGGTACAAATAGATAGAGTCCTAAAAAGACATAAACAGAACCTATAAATGATAAACAGAAACCCAGGAGGAAAACGTCAACTAGGACTAGGATTATTCTATATTTCCTAACCGTGTGTTTTGTGGACATGCCCTCCAATCACGTAGGAACAAAAGTTTAATTCATTCCACAACAAACCTTTGGTAAGTTGTTGGATTTTGACTTAGTTCATTATCCAGAACAGTAATTCAATCTTTGAGTGAGAGAAGAATGAGCTTGAAATCTAGCTACCCAATTCGCTATGAAATTCAGACAACAAGGAATAGCTTCCATCTTAATGAGATTAGTCGATATCAAAATACTTTACATTGTAGGGAAATTGTTAAATATCATACATTGACCTCTCCCAACAACCTGAGTTATTGGAACCAGTTGTTTTGTGACAGACTATCAAAGTTGGTTTGTTCTTGAGATCACGTGCTCAAATCCTCACGACTCCCAATATTGATAGTTGTTTTAAAGCACATGATATGAGGAGACTTGTGCAAAGCTTCAAGCTCATAAGTTGACTTTCATTTGAGTGGGGTATGTAAAGAAATGGTTAAATACCATACATTAACCTCTTTCAACTCGAGTTATTGGCACCAGAACTTAACTATAATTTACACAATCCACACTTGGGAGGGAAACTTATAATACCTAATGAATCCCAAACTCCAACAAGAAATCTAAACACATAATTAAGTAATCAACAAAAATTATAAACAGAACTAATTATACTTATTAATTAACTAAGCATCAATCGGATCATATATCGTTTTCCCTTACCTAGCCTGTGCTTTTATTAGTTAGTTTGTAATTACCTACTTAAGTGCCTAGATATCGTGTGTGTATATATATATATATATATACTTACAACTTCTTTCTGTATATATTATCAGTTCAGCACTCATTATTGAAGGTATGAAAAGGCGTAGGGTCGTCTGTTTGGTGCTTGCAGTTGCTGGAGGGTCAAGCAAATACAGAGACTAAATTATTTACGAGAGACACAGAGATTTCTTTTCATATCGTTTCAATTTATCGGATGTTTGAATTTTGAAGTTATCGTTTAATATCCATACAATTAAAATTAGGCAGATGGATATAGTCTCCTTTCCCGCCTGCTACTAAGGAAGAGCAAGAAAAAATTGGATAGGTTTCTATCAAGGATTGCTTGAATTATTTGGATCAGTTGGTTTTTATACGATATCAAAGTTAGTTTGTCCTCAGGTCATATATTCAAATCTTCACGAACCCCAATATTAACCGTTGTCTTACATGGTATGACTGGCATGCGCAGACTTTAAGCCAAAGGGTTCACATTCGTTTAAGAAGGCGTGTAAGAAAGTGGTTAATATTCATACATGGATCCCTCTCAACAACTCGGATTATTAAAACCAACTCGTTTTCGTACAGATAACCAATAGCAAACGAATAGGGATGGCAACAAAATCCGAACACACGGGTACCCACCCGACCCAACCCGGTCAACGCGGGTAAAATCCGTGTTGACGGGTTTTGGGCCGGGTTTGGGTTTTAACCCGTTCACTATTCACCGGGTTGGGTTTGAGTTTAGGTAAACCCGACCCATGGGTACCCGCCCACACCCATATAGTTAATTTTATCGGTATATTTAATATTCTAAACAACTAGTCTTATTTATATTTGTGGAGACATGTCTAATTTTTTCTTTCAAATTGTGTAGAATGAAGTTGATGTTATCGAGTGGAGAGTGAAGAAACTTAATTGAAAGGAAGAAGCTTTCAATTAATCATGTTATTTATGGATAATTTGTGATTTGCTTCAATTTTCTTAAGTTTTCTAGATTGGTGTTGAACAATTTGTATAGTTAATTTGTGATTTACTTGAATTTTCTAGAATGGTGTTTTATATATGGATAATTTGTATTGAGAGATTGATATTTGACTTTAATTTTGATATGAACTTGTTATTGTAAAATTTTTACGACAAAAACCCGTGGGTACCCATGAACCCACGGATACCCAGCGGGTTGGGTTGGGTTTGAGTTTTTCAAACCCAGTGGGTTTTACCCCGGTTTTTTTTCACGGATAAACCCATGGATTTGGGTTTGGGATTGGCAAAACCCGACCCAAACCGACCCATTGACATCCCTAGGTATTGGGCATAGGATTATTGCTAAGTAATATTTAAAGAATCTACTATGAGAATTGTTGGGAAAGGTCTAGATTCTAACTCTAAAAATTGTTGGAAAATGAGTTTGAAAGTTTCATATAATTTGGTAATTCACATTTAATGAAAAAACAATACTCTAATTTTGTATCAAATAGCGGGATTCGGGAATGGATCAAGTCAGTAACCTTATGGTGAGTAACCATGAGTAACCCGTCCACATCAGCATGACATCAGCATCCTCTCTCTCCTGGAAAGCCTTTAATTTTCTCCTCCTTAATCTTTGACGGATGATTTCTCACTCGTTTTAAGTCGAAATTTAATTTTTTTTGCATAGTTGGATCAGATTAATTGTGCTCTTCAAAATGATATCCACTTTGATATATTTTCCGAACAAAAAAAATTGAGCCGTTTTTTACCAGTCTATACCATATTGTATTGAAATAAGAGCATACCTATGGTTTGAAAAGCGTATCATGGTGGTATGAACAAACCAAGACTGTAGGATGGTTGAATACATGATAGTAGAAGTATATTAATGGTCATTTACGACTTTTAACATTGTATACCACAAGATACCACCCCGTACCAGGGTGGTATTGTATGGTATTGTGTGGTATTTTTTGGTCCTGTAATTTGTTCACCCAGAATTTGTAGATCTAATAGATCATGATGAACTCGTCCCTTCTGTGCAAACGTTTTAAAAAACGAATTAAAAACGAAGAAGATACCATATGGCATGCAGTTGGTACCGAGAGGCCAGAATTTTTTTTTCTCAAAAAATATTGAAAATTGATCTCATTTTGTAGAGCACGATGAACTCGTCCTATCTGTGCAAAAAAAAAATTGAATTAAAACGAAAAAGATATGAGTCAATTAAAAAAACTAGGAAAAATAAAAATGACCTTTAATTCTCCATCCTTATATCTGAATTTTCCAAATGAATGGTCCAAATTTGGTTATTGATGAGTGCATAACCTATGGTTAGGTTATGCACCCTATCTTGAGCCTCAAATAGCCTTATCATATGACACGCTTGGAGTTCTCTGTAGACCTAAATGGTTATGTTATAGCCACTCTACCATTTGAACATCCCTATGTAAAATGTATGGCTCCGCCTCTGGCTGCATGATGAAGACGACGATATATGAATTTCACAACACTTTGATGTTTGACAATAGTAATTTGGAATTTCAATAGTCGTGCCTTTTAACTCAGCCAGTTTTTAGTTATGTATATAGACATGAGATTTTGATTGATAATTAACCAGAAATGATGCCCCATTTGTTTGTTTTGCCTAATCATGGGTTTATTTTGATTGCTTTGTTTTTAATTTTCTATGCATATTTAATCCCTAGATAATTTTTTTCCGACAATGGACGAGAAGGTGCGAGAGGAGGTGGATTTACGTAGGAAAGAGGGTAGCACAATTGGAGAGGTCAAGCAATTGCAAGAATATGTTGAGAGTCAATACCTCATGGAATATCTAAAGAGATTAGAGTTGAGGGGCTCTGCAGATTCAAAATAAAGTGTTGGGTCCTTAATCGGATATGAAAAACAAGGTTTAGTCATGGATTGGTTTGAGTATGGAAGTATATTTACTTAAATGTTGAAGTTGGATTCATTTTGTGGCCGAGTATGTGAATGGGTCGCTGAGGATTCCGCGAGAGGTAGTTGAGCAGGGAGCTAAGTTCTGGGGGAATAGCTTGGTTGGAAAGATATTTAGAAGGAAGCAAATTAAAAAAGTACATTGCTCTAGATAGAGCATAAAGTTTGACCGTTAATTATTTGATGTGAAATTTAAAAAATTTAATTCATTTTTTCACCTCATTATTCCACCTATTTTGTCTATATGATTTATCATATTAATTATTCAATATAATTAAATAAATTAGTTTTGAATGACGTTTAGGAGGATCATCTAACTGTGACTGTGATCGGGAATACCCACAAACCGGAACATGTCCCCGTCGAGAGGTACAGGGAGCTCTTGGCGAAGCTCGATGGGGAGCAGGCGGTTCGATGAGCAGCAGAGGATTCGAAAGAAGAGGCCAAGAGCGCTAGATGGGCACCCGAAGAACCCAACAGCAGCGCCGCTGGGTGGGACCGCCACGCTCCGATTGTCGGCGAAGAAAATCAATCAAATCCACAAAAATCAGATCAACTCAATCTCTGATCAACTCAATCTCTGATCGTCGAAGCTCTAATCAAACAGATAACATGAACGATGAATTCAAACATAGAAGAAATTCAAAAACAGAATTAACACAGACCTGAGTGCTCCATAACGGTAGCCTCTTCAACAAGGGATAATCATGTAAAAGGAAAGCCAGTACTAACTTTACAATACACAAAAAGACAATAAAAGTTATATCTACATGCTCATTCATCACCACAACGCCAAAACAATTATAAAGGCTACCGAGTCCAGATTTAATAAAACCAGTCTAACACAACTATCTGAACTTTGGCCTTAGACGCTAAAGAAATGTGACTTGTTTTGAGGGTGACCAGCCGATATCTATAACTAAGCGCCAATCATCTAAATCTCCCATCATCTTAATGATGCATCCAAACCATACATAACAGCAGAGGAAGTGAAGCTCTAGCAGAAGCCGCCTCGGTGAGGGGATATGAGAACCCTGGTCCTTATTGGGTTACTTGCAATATGTCTTTGATATCATATCCTTGGAGCTGTGAGACGGAAGTGCCAAAAGCAACAGCATCAGGTTAACGGCATTCAATAACTTTGGAAAGTAAGATTTGGTACTGTGGAGCTAGGCTTCGAGTATTCGTAGCAGGATGCTAGGAGATATTGCTAAATCGGGAAAGATTGAACTAGAGGAGGAAGAAAATGTACCTGGAGCAAGGTGAGGATCAAGATCACCCCCGAGTTCCAGCAAGCATGAATTGTAATTGGAGTCAGAAGGTTCCGCGTTTGAGCATATGAAAATCCAAGCAGAGTTCCTAAACAAATTTACCGAATTTCTCTTATATACTCATCGAGAAACCAAAGCTGTGTGCAATCAACTGTCCAAGTATATACCTAAAGCAAACAGTTGGGGAAACTCTCCTGGAGTTAGATGTGCTAGAGCGAAAACTGCGGCACTGATCACTACAGCTATTGGTGTTGGAACCCTACGGAGAAGTTGGAGAGATAGAGTGAGCATGGTCGGTCAGCCCATACAGGCAGAATAAAACAATTTGTAACTAAACAAACTCATATTCGCCACATACCACTTTGTAAGAGCGACCATGAAAAATCCTCGAAAGACGTTCTCCTCCAAAATTGGAGCAAGGACACCAGTGATTACTAGCAGTAAACCAGTGCTGCAACGGTAGGGAATATGAGTAATTCAGTTACGATCCACACTCGAGATCTTAAAGATGGAAGAGAAAACTATTTCAATTATCACATTTTACGTGGGGGCGATTTCAAACTTACCTGATGCCTGAAGATCCGATTAGTGGAAGAAGCCGAACAAGAGCATCAGCCTGCAATAACAGAAGTGAAAGGTACCTTACATGACATCATATATAGGATGTAGAAAGATCCGGCAAAGGCAGTTCTTAGAAGGAAACATCAAGAAATAAGAAACCACCTAACCAGAAAAAGAAGATGTCCTACTCAAACCAGAAAAAGGAGATACTTATTGGAATTAACTCGCCAGTGTACCAAAAACAACAAAGATACCCAAGTTGGCATGAGTTAATATGACTGTGGCCCTAGCCATTTCAAACACACGCTGCTGCAACAACTCCATTTGAACTTCCGTCATCCCATATGCTCTCTACTAAAAAGAAATCGAATTAATGAATGTAAGAAACAAGTTTCTAACCTCACGTTCTTGAGTCTCGCCATTAAAAATGGAGACAACAAATCCTGTCAATGCAATGGCAAGCACAGCACTCCCAAGACCTATCCCAGCCCACAACAACCAGCCTCGTTGCAGGTCGAAGGGTTCCTTGAAATCTGACACAATATCAAACCATCCTAAAACTTTCCTACTTGAATCGCAGAATGATTACAATAAATGAACTGTTGCCGAACTGAATCTGGCTGAAGTTATAATCAAACAAATTAAGACTTTTTACCATAGCGATAGATATCTTCAGGAAGCGGTCCAAAGCTCTTGGTAATACTATACATAACTCCAATTACAACTGCTGTTGTGAGACTGGGTAAGGAGCAAAGTTCACAGAAGTCAGAAAAACTACAGTCTCATCGAATTACCAATGTTGCAAAGAAATGAACACATCTCATGTACCTTTGATCCACAAACAACAACTCAGCCTTCTCATCTAAACTCAACAGTTCATATTTAATTCCCAGAAATGGCAAAGTCTGAACCTCCACCAACCCTGTCAAAATAAAACTGCCTGCCTAAAAGTTAATTCACTTTCTTCTTAGCCAACACCATACACCAATTCAAGCTACAACAGTTAGAACTTACAAAACGAAATCCCGTGAATTCATCAATAGACATAATATTTTGCCAAGAAAAAAGTACCCAGATCAAAATTTTCAAGAATTCAAACATCAAAATTAGGAGCAAGCAGAAATCAGAACCTAATTCCACAGGCAAGTGATGTTAACGAAACAGTCGGCCACTCCCACGGCACGTCCCATCTCTTCAAAGCTGGCCAATCCAATCCACTCTCCTAAAATCGCAACCAGACATTCCCTAAAAATCGTATAGTTTCAAAAGGAGAACAGACAAAGCGCTATCAAACCAGCATCTCGAAGCATAGTCGAACCTGAGGCTCAAGTTTGGTCTTCGACTTCTCTTCTCCAGAATTGAAGAAGCAAACCGGGCGCAATCCTCGGTTAGAAATACGAATTAGCCTTCCTGGAGCTACCAACTTCGGGATTCCGACTGGAGTTCTCAGTGAAGATGATAACTTGGAAGAAGAAGAGAGACGGTGCATAGAAGACTGAGCTAGAGAAGTGAAGATTGCGGAAACCATGATGCTGAGTTTGTGCTTTCCGATCAAAAGACTGAAGCTTTACTGGTTGATTGTTGGTGAATGGCGAGAACTGCTATTCGTTGGAATGGACTGGCCCGTTGTGCGGGATGAGAGTTAGATAAGGATGATGCCAGGATGGAGGGAACTTGAAGGCACAGTCATGGTATTTTTTTTTTTTTTACAAAAGATAATCATTAGTTTGAAACCAATAGATCGTTACATCCGGTGAAAGAAAAAGGTTCTTTTAGAAAGAAAATAGCTCCGAGAAAATAGGAGACGAAACCTAGCTGCGATTTTCAAACCTAGGGTTCCTGGCTGAAAGAATGGCGGCGGTCTCACCGCCGACGTCACCAGGGATGACGGACAGGGCTCCGGATGTGACTAGTGGTGTCCGGCGACCGTCGGAGGGTTCTTCGACTCCGGACGGGAAAAGCGAGAGAGAAACAGTACAACCAAAGAAGAAGGTCCGGCCGTTGGTCTTTGAGCAGAACGCGGGGGGGGGGACACTGGAGGCGCCGACACGACTGAGATGGAGACGGAAAAGGAAAAATCTAGCACCAGCTCGGCGGGGAAGGGGACTTGGGGAAAGAGCTTTAGTGCGGTTCTCCAAGAAGACAAGTGGTATGTGGCGGAGTCTGACTCAGAGGACGTGGCAGGGATGGAGAAGGAGGAAGATGATGAGATGGATGCCGAAGAGGACCCAAAATGTCCTACGATCACCTTTACTGCGGCGGAAAAAATAAGATGGCGTCGGGAATGGAGATCGTCGCTGGTAGTAAAAGGGCTGGGCAAGAGAGTTTCATATATTCCGCTGGCACGTAGATTAAACTTCTTATGGGCGAGAAACGGGGAGATTCAAATCTCTGATATGAACAATGGGTGTTTTCTGGTACGTTTTCGAAGCCAGAAAGATTATGAGTGGGCAATGGAGGGGGGCCCTTGGCTTCTCGGTGACACCTATCTTACGGTACATCGGTGGTTTAAAGGTTTTAACCCCTGGAAGACAGAGATAACATCAACAATGGTATGGGTCCAGCTACCGGAGTTGCCGATTGAATTCATAAACAAGGAAGCAGTAATGAAAATTGGGCAATGGTTGGGTAAGCCTGTACGTGTTGATCGAGCTACGGAGTTGGGGGCTCGAGGAAGATTCGCAAGACTTTGTGTGGAAGTGGATCTGACTCAACCGTTGTTATCCCAGTACAAAATTGAAGGGACAACATACTTGATTCAATACGAGGGCCTGGATGATCTGTGTACTACCTGTGGGACATATGGTAAGTCTGGAGGAAAGTGTCAATGTAATTTGGCTGAAAAGGCGATGGAGACTGAGGAGGCTCCAGTGGACGAGGTGGGGAAGGTGAAGGATCCTACCCAAGGACGCACATATGGGGAATGGATGGTGGTACAGCGTCGGGAAAGGAGACCTAGCAGGGGGGTTAGTCGGGGGAAGGAGGAGAATAATGAAGGAAGAGAGTCGAATCGGTTTCATACTTTGGAAGGGGAGGATAACCAAGGTGGAGTGGAGGATGAAAATGCTAGGTCGGATAATGGGGAAAAGGGGGAACCCAAGGAGCACCCTACGGCTACCCAAACCTTAAATGAGACCCCTTCCCATGCAGATGGCCATGCACACCACGTTGAAGTCGGAAACCAAATACCACAAGGGAAGAATGCGAAAATGGTCACTCCCAAACCAAAAGATACTACTGTTGACAAAAGAGTACCCGTGGGTACGAAACTATATGAGGGTCTGGCAGCGAAAGGGAATATGGGTGGAGACACAGGAAAGAAAGGTGACGGTAAGAAGCAGGGACATAAGAATGAGAGCATGAAGAGTGCAGGGATACGTATGGATACTAAGGGTACGGGTAACCTGAAAAAAGCTGAGGGTGCGGGGAACCGATCCCCTTCCGGGCATAAATGAGACTATTATGTTACAACTGCCGTGGACTGGGAAACACACGAGCAGTTAGAGCTTTGCGGTCGCTGTTGCGGCGGGTTTCCCCCCAGGTTGTGTTCTTAATGGAAACTAAGCAACTTCGGGACGAGAATGAGGCTTTGAGGAAGGAAATGGGTTTTAGTCATGGTGGCAGCTGGCCATGTGATACTACCAGAGGTGGCCGTGCAGGAGGTTTATCAATATGGTGGATGGAAGAAGTAAGGGCGGAGGTAGTTGAAGAGTCGCCAAATTATATGGATCTTAGAGTTGAGGAGGGTCAGGATAGGATGTGGAGGTTTACTGGTATTTATGGATGGGCTGAGGGACAGGAGAAACACCGGACATGGGAGTTAATCCGTGATCGTGCGCGGCAGTGGGAGGGTCCATGGATTTGTGGCGGAGATTTTAATCAGATTTTATCGGACCGGGAAAAGAAAGGTGGTAATCCCGGGAATGAGATGGAAATGCAAGCTTTCGCTGATTGCTTAGCGGAGACGGGACTGAATGATTTAGGCTACCAGGGATACCCGTTCACGTGGGAGAATAGAAGGCGAGGTGGGGGATATATTGAGGAGAGACTGGATCGGTATTTGGCAAATGAAATTTGGTTGAACCTTTGGCCTAATGCGAGGGTGTTACACCTGGATGCGGCGCGCTCAGATCACAGGCCTATTGTGTGCGAGACCTTGGGAGATGAGGATGACATTAAGTGGGGCTGGAACTTCAGGTTTGAACCGATGTGGGCTAAGCATGCTGAGTGTGCCGAGACTATTAAGGAAGCCTGGAACTCAGCTCCCGGAGTAGCGACAGCTAAACTTGCACAAGTGCAAGAGAGGCTCGATCAGTGGAGCAGAGCTACGTTCCCGAATTTTGGAAGACAGAAAGAAAAGATACGGCGGGCCTTGAGGGCTCTGGATAGGAGGGAGAAAACAGATGAGATCATACAACAAAAGCAAAAACTCCAAATGGAGCTTGAAGATCTTGAATGCGATGAGGAGATGTTCTGGAAGCAAAGGTCGAGGGCGGACTGGCTCCGGGAGGGTGACAAGAATACAAGCTTTTTCCATAGAAAAGCTTCCATGCGCAGGAAGCGAAATATGATCCGCAAGCTGAGAGATGAATCTGGGGCGTGGTGGAGAGGTAATGAGGAGGTCTCTACGTGTCTTACTGGATATTTTAACGAGTTATTCATGGCTGGGGGTCGGCCGCCTAGGACGCCAGTTTTGGAATCGGTTGAAGCTCGTGTGAGTGAGGAGATGAACGCTTGGCTTGAGCGTCCTTTAACTCGGGAAGAGCTCTACGAAGCACTTAGACAAATGGGGAAGAGGAAGGCACCGGGACCGGACGGTATGTCAGTCTTGTTTTTTGTGAAGTATTGGGATACCATCGGGGAGGAGGTCTCGGAACTTTTGCTTGGGGCGTGGGATAGCGGGATAATGCCGGCTGAACTGAACCACACGTTGATCGCTCTGATCCCAAAAGTAAAAGATCCAGTCATGGCAAAAGAATTCCGACCGATAGCTTTATGTAACGTGATGTACAAGATGCTAGCGAAGGCGATGGCGAACAGATTAAAAACGTTTTTGGACGCGGTCATTTCACCGGAGCAGAGTGCCTTTGTTCCTGGGCGTTTTATTGCGGATAATGTGATGACGGCTTTTGAGTGTTTTCATACTATGAAGAAAAAGACAAAAAACAAGACAGGCTACCTAGCGGCGAAGACGGACATGGCGAAAGCCTACGATCGGGTGGAATGGTGGTTTCTTGAAGAGATCATGAGCAGGATGGGTTTTGCCGCGAGCTGGATCCAGAGAATTATGATGTGTGTCAAGTCCGTGACCTACTCTATTCTGGTCAATGGACACCGATCACAGACTTTCGCTCCTAGCAGAGGAATTCGGCAGGGTGACCCGCTGTCACCATACTTATTCCTGTTGGTGGCAGAGGGTTTGTCTAGCTATGTTTCGCTGGCGGTCAGGCAAAAGCGGATTCATGGGCTGTCGGTGGCTAGGGGGGCGCCTGTGATATCTCACCTTTTTTTCGCTGACGATTCTATCTTTTTTGCCAGGGCAACTGTGAAAGAAGGTATGGAGCTACGACGAATACTTGATGACTATCAAACGGAATCCGGTCAGCTGGTCAGCCTTGAAAAGTCTGAGGTGACCTTTGGATCGAACATAAAGGTGCATCAGAGGCTGATGGTGAGTTCGACGTTGGGCATGAAAGTGGTTGAGAAGCACGACAAGTACTTGGGGCTGGTGACTCAAGTTGGTAGATCGAAAAAAGAGCTGTTTGTGTACTTAAAAGACCGGATTCGGAAGAAATTGGCTGGTTGGAAGGAGAGGACGATGTCAGCTGCGGCTCGGGAGGTCATGATTAAGTCGGTGGCCCAGGCTCAGTTAACATATACTATGTCAGTGTTCAAGGTACCAGACGGCATTATTGACGAGATCCATAGCTTAATCACCCAGTTCTGGTGGGGACAGAAAGGCCAGGAGAGGAGAATTCCTTGGGTAGCGAGAGAAGCTTTGATATGCTCAAAAGCACAAGGGGGGATGGGTTTTAGAGACCTTCATGGTTTCAACAAAGCCCTCCTTGCGCGTCAAGTGTGGAATCTCTATACCCGACCGGAATCTCTCGTGGCGAGACTGTTGAAAGCGAAATACCACAAGAAAGATTCCATTCTGGATGCGCGAGTGGGCGGGAGACCGAGTTTTGTTTGGCGTAGCCTCATGAGCGCGCAAGAATTCTTGGTGGATGGTTTGAGATGGCGTATTGGGAATGGTGCTTCGGTGAGAATTTGGGGAGACCGCTGGGTTCCATCTTCGCCGGGCTTCATTATCCAATCCCCCCCGACTGGCCTGCCGGTGGATGCGGTGGTACGTGAGTTGTTTGAAGTGGGGGAGGAACAGTGGGATGATGCTTTGCTTGAGAGCTGCTTTTCAGAGGAGATGGTGAAGGCCATCCGCCAGATTCCCCTACGAGATTTGGGGGAACCGGATCGCATGATTTGGGCGGATAGCAAAGATGGTCTGTATACTGCCCGGGATGGATATCGAACTTGGCTGGGTAAACACCAAATCGAAAAAGGTGATCGCAGCGTGGGGGAGCCAGCCATGTGGAATCGTCTCTGGTCGATGAACATCCCCCCAAAGATTAGGATATTCATGTGGAAGTTCATGAGGGGAGCTTTAGCAACTGGTGAACAGGTGAGTAAGCGCAACCCCAGGCGAGGTGACTTGTGTCCTTTTTGCAACCAGGTGGAAACGCAGG